ATCCCCACAAAGTCGATTAAACGCTATAGGAGTCGCGCGTAGGTCCGAAATGCGAATAATGATTCCGTCGAGGATCGTAAAATACACTAACACTGCATATTACAATAAGTATTTACATACATATTATATATGTATATACAATAATTTATAGTCCTATATACATACGTAAATCGCAATTATATATATATATATATATATGTAATCAAAAGGTATTGTGCGTTTTCGGTGCAGTACATACGATATATACCATAAAGGCCTTATCAATAAGAAGCGCGATTCGTGGATGAGGTGTCGTGTTGAGGGTGATAGCTCGGGCCTCCCTCCGAAAGCGCAAAAATATCTGCGAGCGTGATCGGACTATAAATTGTATAAAATACATGCGGTATACACTATACATAGAAAACCACAGTTTATCACGTTTTCCAGATATTTGATTGACGGTTTCGAAGTGATCGGTTACTATACTTCATAAAACGACCTATAATTAATAGTTTGAATTTTATTTTTAAATGAAATCAATATTCAATCTGTATAATACATCGAAATAATAAAATATAATATTTTATGTTAATACACTTTGATGTAATCAATAATGATTAGCATAAATTATGACGATTCAAAATATTTAACGAATAATAAAACTTGGCAAAACCAATATGGTCACAACAAAATCCCATGAAACAAAAGCAACTATTTTCTTCAGGCCTGACAAGAAATTTCACATAAAAGCAAAAACTATCATCGATAGATTAAGATTAGGTCATATATCAGACAGTACAGACTCACACTCRGCTAGGTTATTCGAGTAACTTCTCATATATATGACATGCAGTGTCAAACTATAGTTAAACTACAACACATATCTCGAAGTAATGAACTGAAACAAATTTTCTAAGCTCACATGACATAAGCCTTTAAGRCCACAGCCTTGTTCTAGACTATACATACTAAATAATTTATACTTTCTCTTGCAGACAGAGATTGAATAAATTATATTTTAACCCTCAAGCAAGCGCGTAGGGGTCTAGTTGACCCCCATCTAAAACAAAACTTATAAATTCCAAAAATAATAATTGGTTTATTTTTCTATACTTAGAAGATGGTTTGTATGACAATGTTTAATAGATTTTCGTAAAATTGAAAATTGAAAATATGTCAAACAACTTCAAAATGGGCGTCAAAAAAGGAAGAGGTAAATATGAAAAATGAGTGTAAGACAAATTATGTTAAAGTAAAATTTTTGGTCCTAAAAATAAGATTTTTAAGTTAAAATATTTTTTTTCACCAATCAACATTTTAGTATGAAATTTTCAAGTTTCCTAATTTTTTTTCTGTAATATAATTTTTAGTAACTTACGTACCTAGTTATGTGTTTATATTTAATTTATTTTTTATTATTACATTTTTTATCCATATTTATATATCATGTAGTAATCAATTATGTCTTTGAATTAAAAAAAAATTAATTTTCTGTACTTCCGTTA